CCCTGCTGTAGCTCGTCAGCGATGGGGCCATTGGCTGGGGAGGGAGGGATCGGGCAGTGAGCAGGGAGCAGCCAGGCAGCCAGGCAGCCCTGTGTCCATCCTGGCCCAGGCCTTCGGGGGCCAGAGACTGGGGCAGGTGCGTGCAGCTGAGTTGTCCTGCAATTCCAAGTGCTGTTTGGGACCCTCGGGCAGCCAAGGATCTGCTAAAGGTGGGGAAGGAGCCGGACTGGAGGCCACACCTGGAGCATCAAGAGATGGCTGTGTGCTGAGTTGTCTTGTTTTTTTTTTTTTTTTAATTTTAAATTAAAAACAATTTGGGGTGCTGAGGATTAAACCCTGGCGTGCTCTACCTCTGAGCTGCATCTCCAGTGCTTTCTATTTTTAATCTGTAGACAGGGTAGCTGGACTGGCCTCAGCCCCCCCCCCCATTCATTGTGCCTGCCTTGAGTTATCTTTTATTGAGATTCTGGGGGTTGAGTCATCAGTCATGTTCCTGTAGGTCTGACTTTGGGGTTAAATATTAAAGGATCCTTCTTATCCCCAAAATGTCCTAAGTATAGTTCTGAATCTGTCTCCCATAGTTCCATTTATTTGCATTTAATCTTTTTTTTCTTTAAAAAATTAAAAAAAGAATCTTTTTCGTAGTTGTTGATGGAGAGCACGCCTCTTCATCTCTTACATGGTGCTGAGGATCAAACTCAGTGCCTCACCTGTGCTAGGCAAGCACTCTCCCACGGAACCCCAGCCCTGCCTGTAACCTTTTAATTTAGCTGGAACCTATTTGAGCATATGGTTTACCATAAGATCTAATCCCCCACCCCCACATGGCTTATTTTAGTTTATTTGTATGGCACCTACAACATGCCAAGCCCTGCTGTAAACACTTGGCAGAATCGGATCTGTTTAATCCTTACAGTACCCAAAGCATCCATTTGTTAACATCTGTCACATAGTATGTGCTTAATAAATATTAGCAGTTATTATTGTACAGTTCAAAAAGAGGTGAAAACGTTCAGGCAGAAAGGAAGAGAGGTGTGTGTGGCTGCTGATTGAGAGCTGCTTCCTCCAGGAAGCCTCTGGGGATTTCCCCTGGGTCTATACTTACTCCAGAGGCGACCCCAGCCAGTGACAAGGCAGGGGAAGTCCTGAGGCAGCACGGAGTCCTTCTCTGGCAGGCAGGCCACCTGGATGGTGTCACTCAGCTCCACAGGCTCTGCGAGCTTGATGAGGGCAATGTCATTGCTGGAATCCAAAGCAGAGGGCATGAGTGGGCAGAGGGGCCCTGACCTCTCCAGACTGTGCTAGGAGACCTGGGGTTGTGAGCTGTGGTCAGGAAAAGGTGACCAGAGAGTGTCCTTAAGCATTCCAGCCGTGAAAGGCAGATCAGA